AACTCAGCAGGGGAATAGAAACTTAAGAAAATGGCTGACATTATTATAAAATGGATACCAGTTAATGGCTTCCCACAGTCATGTTTCCTAGCTCTTCTCCGTTCGTTCTTTCTTTCTTTCTTTCTTTCTTTCTTTCTTTCTTTCTTTCTTTCTTTCTTTCAACAGCAGATGTTGTATCAGGTCTGAATCAACTACTCTTTAGATCTGGAAGAAGAGATATCTGTGGTTAGTTCCCAGGTTCTCAAGCTGGAGTCCACAATACCAAGGCATATATCTGGTCAGAGCACTTTGAGCTGTATGAAAAAATATGACATGTTCACTTTATTTGATGATTTGGGAAAAACATTTTATAAAGTCTGTTATATATTTAGTACTCTAGCTTTCGACTACACATAAAAACACACAAACTATGTATATGAAGTAGCTTGAATATTAAGATTTATAATTTCTTCTTGAATCTTTTATAAGCTAAATCTTCAGACTTCATAAGCATGCTGTAGTTATTCTTTCTGCTGTTAGCAGTGCTTGAGGATCAGTTTGTTTTTTTTTTGGTGGAACTGGGGATTGAACTCAGGACCTTGTACTTGCCAGGGAAGCGCTTATTCTACTGAGCCATCTCCCCAGCCCTCATGAGAATCACTACTAGTAAACTTTCCTCTTTTTTTTTTTTTTTTTATTTATATTTTTTTTTTTTTTTTACTTCTCTCCTGGCACTGGGCATTGAACCCAGGATGTGGGTGGTGGGCTACATCCCCACTCTTTTGAAATTTATTTGAGATAGCATCTTGCTTAATCACTAAACTGAGCTCAAATTGTGGTCCTCTTGCTTCAGCCTCTCAGAGTGCTGAGATGACAACAGGTGTGGGCCACATGCCTACCTTTCAGTCTCATCTTTTAGTCTGGAGCCAAACATAGAGATGTGGCATCCTGGGGCACCTTAATCCCCTAGCACCAGCCCACCTTTGGCCCATTCTAACCTGGAGCATAGCCTGGGATCCTAGGATAGTCTTCTGGTACACATACAGAACAGTAGGCAGACTAAATTGCTTTTAAAATATTTTGAGTGGTTCTTCTGCAGGCAGGTCTGAATCATGTGCT